ATTTGTTTTTATTTTAATTCAAATGATGCAATGAGTATTGTTTTAAATAACAATTTATTTTATTTTATAAATGTAAACGTAGATTTTTTATTTATATTCGATTCACGTTTTTAATCAATGAGAGAATATTCTTTTTAGATAAGAAATAGACGAGATAGCCTTCTCATTGGAGGATGTGCAAATCTCGTGATTTCTTATCGAATTAAGTAATGTTCCCTAATAAATAATTCGAAGCAAATTAATTAGATTTAATAAATGGATCAAACTTTAATTATCGATGCGAATTCATGATTTCCACATTTACGACAACGTGTAAGAGACACAGTACCAATTTTGGGCGTTGTGGGGGTGCTTACCCATCCCCATGCATAATCGACTCCCGGATCCAAAAAAATGAATCTTTGATAATGCAGACCAATTTTTGTGTTAAAAATGATTTTTCCTAAAAAAAATTAAAAGACGTTTTTAGGTATTCAACCTACCTAACTTAAAGGTCGATGGAGACTCCTATCCAATTTAACTTAAATCAATTCAAAATCCACCAATTTTTTAAAATAAAAGTCATAACTGTTTTTTAAAATAATATTTAATTATTTTTCAAAAAAAATGGTTATGACGCAAGTCTCGTTTGGATTCATCATGGGGGAAATAAATACCAAGTTGTTTTCTCATTTCAACTCTGATCAGACGTAAAAACAACAGAATTCAGGGTTTGTTCATAGGGGAAACCTAGACAACGAACATTCAACAACTTCAGCAATACATCCTTAACTACTATGGAAAACTCTTTGAAGCAAATGTTTACACGGAGTTGACCATTAGATATGATAGGTTTAAACCCACCATTACCAGTAAAGAGAAAGCCGATTTGGGGAAGCTTGTTACTGAGATGAAAATTCGCACTGCTCTTTTCTCAATGAAGAACGTGAAAGCTCCCGAACTCGATGGCATTCAACCAGTGTTTTACAAAAGGAATTGGGAAACTGTGCGATGGACTTGGAACTTTGCCAACTCAACCTTGAACGCGACAGCCATGGACCCTAGAGTGTTGGAAGCCTTCCTGGTTTTTATCCCCAAGGCTCTCATGGCAAATAATATCACGTTATTTTGTTGGATCAGTCTTTTAAACACTTATTACAAGATCTTCTCCAAAACTCTTGTTCAAAGGCTCCGTCCTATTCCTCAACACCTTGCGGGACCCTATCAAAATAGTTTTCTCTCCGGTAGGAGTGCCTCTGAAAATATTCTGGTTGTCCAAGAATTAATGCACACCATGATGAGCACTACTGGAAGAAAAGTTTGGATAATCATGAAGATTGACTTAAGAAAAAACGTAAGACAATGAATCCAAACTTCTAGGAACACACTCTGCAAGCCTTTGACTTTCCGAGGAAAATGGTTACCACCATCATGTTTGTGTTAAGAATGGTACTGTCGATCCCCTGCGGAACGATGAAACCACGAAAAAAATCAACCTGAAGCAAGTCCTCCGTCAGGGAGACCCTCTGTCCCCTTATCTCTTCATCCTTATAATGGAGCGGCTATCACACATGATCCTTGATAGAGAAGCATGGAAAGCCTATAGAGGTTCAAGAGGAGGACCTAAAGTTAGTCATATCTTCTTCGCCGATAATCTCTTACTCTTTGTCGAGGCGAATGCCAATCAGGTGGCTCACATTCGGAATTGTTTAAGAGAGTTCAGCATGGCCTCAGGGCTGGAGGTAAATTTTCAAAAGTCTAAACTATTTATTACACCAAATGTAAATCGAGATATGGCTAGTTACTGAAGTTCGTTACGTAACATACCTTTATCGGATGAATTGAGAACGTACTTGGGAGTCCCAATAATCTATAAAAGGAAAAATACTTATGGCCCTCTCGTCGACAAAGTCATGAAGAAACTCGCGGGGTGGAAAGGACGAGTTCTATCGATGGCGAGTAGGATAACCCTTATCCAATCTATCACGTCTGTGATCCCAGTTCATACGATGAAACAACTATGCTTCCAAGATCCATTTGTCAAAGAATCGACAGTTTAAACCGGAACTTCTTATGGAGTGGAGGAACGGATTACACCCATAATCACTTGGTGAATTGGAATAGAGTCTGCAGACCAAAATATCATGGAGGATTAGGGCTGCGCAAAACGATGACTATGAACTTGTCACTCATGGCCAAGAACGGACGGAAAATGCACACAAGATAGGATGTTATCTGGTGCAAGTTGAAGAGAGAAAAGTACTTAAAACAGTCCAACTTTCTTGAAGTCCAACCAAGAGCAAATAGCTCTTCAACATGGAGAGACATTATGTCCACTAGAACATTTATCAAGCGCGGTGTCAAATAGTTGATCCGTTCGGGGAATCAAACCAAGTTCTGGCACGATTTGTGGGTGGGAGATGGACCATTATCTGAGATCTATCCTGCCATGGACACTAGTACAAGAAATGAGCTGGTGAGCGATTACATCACCAAAGAATGCACCTGGAACCTTTGAAACATACAAGGTATTATCACAGATGAAACTAGAGAACAAATCCAAGGGATCCCTCTTCCAGTGTAACAATGGCAAGAAACAAGATGAAGCCAAATGGGGTTTTTTCGAAAGAATGATCTTACATGGTAGCCTCGGCGGCTAAAGAGATTTCACAAAGAGAGATGCCTGAATCTTCATCGGTGAACCTCGGGTGGGTATGGAGAGTCGAAACCACAGAAAGGATAAGGTTTTTCCTTTGGCTTTGCATGTTGGATAGAGTAAACACAAACGAGATTCGGGCGAGGAAAAACATGACCCAGGATCAAAACTGCAAAGACTGTCAAACATAAATAGTGTCTATAGATCATGTGCTCAGAAAATGTTGTGTTGGAAAAATAGTATGGATCGAGCTCAGGGCTAGTAATCACGATATGCTATTCACAACCAGACACTTCATAGATTGGTTAAAGGGAAACAGTCGGTCTAAGAAGGACCTAGGAGAGGGAATAATTTGGGGCTCCCTCTTCTCGACGACTATATGGAGCCTTTGGAAGCACAGAAATGAGATGATATTCGAGGATAGATAAGAAAACCCTATTCGAGTTATAAGTTACGCTAAGAAATTAGCAAGAGATGTAACCATGGCACTATCCAGTATCTACAACAAATTAACGAAAGAACCAGTGTGGGTTAAATGGAGAAAACGGCCAGATGGATGCTTAATATTAAACACTGACAGAGCTCACAAACGTACTACAGGCCTTGCAACAGCAGGCGGCCTAATCAGAAACGAGCAGGGCAATTAGCTAAATGGCTTTATGTTGAAAATAGGAAAAACGACAAGTGCTACCGTGGAACTATGGGGGTCAGACAAGGACTATTATTAGCAAAATACATGCAATTAGTAAATTTGGTTGTGGAACTTGGTGCTAGTTGGGTGGTGGAGGCTTTAAACGAGGGACCGGTGTCTCAGAGGAGCTGGACAACATCTTGTTGAGAGACTATTGCGACCTCATAAAGGGAGGGTGGATACTCGAAACAAGACACACTTGGCGCGAGGGGAACCGGTGCACCGATCATCTCGCCAACCTTGCCACCGACCAAATAGAGAACTTGATGATTCTCCAGAAACCTCATAGGGAGCTGAAGGAGCTGCTAGAAGCTGATCGTAGAAGACGTAGTATTCTAATTGGTGTATGGTTGTTACCCTTCAACGTGATGTACCCAAAAAAAAATTTTAATACTAATATGTATTATTTAATTATAATTAAACTAGAATAATTAGTAAGTAACCAACATTCGAAACTTATATTTGATCGAGTGTAACCAAAACAATACACATGCATGTGTACGTAGAATAATAGTAGCAACCATTTGAGGTAGATAAATATAATTATACTAACTTTAAGGTTTGAGACAAGAATAAACGTGATGCAGATTAGTGGGTGGATGATGATATATGAGTGGCCGTTTAACTATGAAGATGGAAATGCCCAACAACAATAATAAAGGAGAAGGAAATTAGAGATTTTAGGAATTTAAGTTTTTTTTTGGTAAATTTAGAGAAATCATAGTTTGTTTAAAAAGTAATTTTAAGTTATTTTTTAAAATAATTTTTTTTTAAAATTGTAAACATAAGATATATTAGATAATAATTTTTGAATGGCAATTACAATTAAATTAGGTGAAAATATTTTCTTGAAAAAAGTCACCAATTTTATTCAAAATAGGAAACATCCCAAATTACAATAAAGATTTACAATCATAATCGTAAATTAAGCACATAATTAGAATAATTTCTTATAATCATTGAAACAAAACTAGTCACTTAAGATCACATAAGGACCAAACAAGTAAAGATTAAAATCTAACCAAGAAACTCGATCAAAGATATATACAACGAATCTAATTTAATCGGAAAAAAATCATAAAAAGGGATCAAGTAATTGAAAGACCACTGACAAACCGCAAATCAAACTCGAACGACGTGAAAAGCTATCCACGAGCAAGTCATACTCGAGCAACATGAAATGTATTATTTTGATCAGTCGTGACAATATCAAACAAACCCTTAAAAAAATAAAAACAACAAGTAAAAACATATCATAAAAGCATATTTATTAAAAATATAATATAAAAAATGAAGATGCGATATAAAAAAATAGAAGGACAATAAAAAATATCGATGGTCGACAACTAATATTAAAATTAAATTTTTATTGAAAAATGTTAATATTACATTTTTAGGTGGGGAGTAAAAAAATACTTTAAATACTTAAATTTAAAATTTTGTTTTTAATCCTTTAAACTAAATATTAAACCATTAATTTTGAAATTCAGAACGCAAATTTCTAAACAAGGATAGGCATGTTTGTGCTTGTAACCAAACAAGGCAGATCATTGAGACTAATCAATTCGTGAGGACTAACCATAGTTTACTGCAATCGTTATATCCAGCTTTCAACTAACCTAATTCAAACCTCAGAGCTTCTCTATATAACCATGGTTCAGCCCCCGTCTCAGTTATAACTCTCATACCTCCCCACCTATCGTTTTCGGATATGGCTTCCGCAGAACTCGAGTACCGGTGCTTCGTCGGAGGGCTTGCCTGGGCCACCGATGAACGTGCTCTCGAAGAAGCCTTCAGTGTGTACGGCGAGATCATCGAATCGAAGGTCCGTTTGTTGCAGAGATCGGACTCCAGATCTGACTCGATCCGGCCCGAACCGGTCCTCCCTGTCTATGATCTGTGATCCTTGATCTGTTGTTTTCTGTTAACTACTTGTTACTCTTCTCTATTTTATAACTCTCACCGGTACGTTCATCTTCATCCCCTCTCTGGGCCGAAGATCGATCGATTCTGAAAAGATTTGTTTTATTTTTTATATTATTTGATTTTATTTCTTTTCTTTGTTTAGATTATTAATGACCGTGAGACTGGAAGATCCAGGGGTTTTGGATTTGTCACTTTCCGTGATGAGAAATCCATGAGGGATGCTATTGAAGGTATGAACGGTCAAAATCTTGACGGAAGGAACATCACTGTCAACGAAGCTCAGTCACGTGGTGGTGGTGGAGGCGGTCGCGGTGGAGGATATGGAGGGGGCGGAGGAGGATATGGAGGGGGTCGTGGTGGTGGTGGTGGATATGGTCGTCGTGAAGGAGGATATGGTGGAGGTGGATATAGGAACGGCGGAGGATACGGAGGTGGACGGCAAGACGGTGGATATGACGATGGCGGATCTCGTTACTCAAGGGGAGGTGGAGATAATGAAGGCAGTTGGAGGTCTTAGGTTTGAAGGGTTAGCACTTGTGTGGGGTTTTTATGGCTTGCTTTTGGGTTTTTTGGTTGTTGCGTTTTGGATTGCTAGTGTTTTGTTATGCTGTTTGAGATGTTGTGCGACATAAAAGTGGAATGAAGTATACTATTATCTTCTTTTCAATTCCATTGCTCTTTAGTTTGATTACTTATCGAAAACTTTATATTTTTTTCCGAACACATTTGTGTCTGAATGGACATATATAATTAGGGCGGTAAGATACTAGGTTATCTTTAACACTAAGTTAAGAGTAGTGTTTAATGTTTATTTTTTATTTTAATATTTAAATGTTTCAAAATTATACTTGATATTTATTTTTGTTTCATTTTAACCCAACGATATTGTATATTTTATAGGTTAATTATATTATTTATCACTCTTATTTTGATCATTAAAATTTATAAATTTTAATTTAACTACTTGAATTTTAAATTATTTCAGTTTTAGTCGCTTTAATTTATTTTAATAATATTTTGTGAAATTATATTTTATTATTTTATTAATATATAATTAAAATAAAAAAATAAACTTAAAAGTTAGAGTAATTAAATTATGAGTAATTTTAAAGTTAAGCAATTAAATTAAATGAGAATGAAAATATAGTTGAATAATAAATGATACAATTTATCCATACGAAAGGTATTATGTCCAACAGTTAAGTTTTTAACGTTGAGGTATTAAAATGAAAAAAAAAATAAATGTTATACATTATATTTTAAATAAATAAAATAAAATTAATAGTTTAAGTATTAAATGTGTAATTTATCCTAATAATGTTAGTTTTGGTAAATTACAAGGTAGGTCCTTTGTGTTTGATTTTTTTTTGTTTTAGGTCACCTTACTTTCAAAGAGTCGTGTTTTGATCGTTTATTATGACATTTTAGTAAAATGGTTAGTTTTTAATTTTATCTCTAAAATATAGATAATTCTCAATATAGTCTTGAATTTATGAAGGTTTGATAAGCCCAACACCATCATCGTAATGGTATAAAAGTTTTTTATTAAATATATAATTATTTTATTTTCACCCAGTAATGGTTCGTCTACTGACTACTGGCCTAACCAATTTTTTTGAAACAAAATGTACTTGTCTCTTTGATCGTTCAACAATTGATTACTCGTGTCAGTTAATACATAATTAAATTCACACTTCTTATTCTATTTATTCAACTTTGATTAGTAGGTTTTCATGAATTTCTCAATTGATTCATCGTCATTGTATTAGGGCCGTAAATAAGTCGAGCCGAGTTCGAGTATTGTTGAACTCGATTCGACTCGAAAACTATAAAATAGAGTTCGACTCGGCTCAAAAACTCGTGAACCTAAAATTGTAAACTCTATTCGAACTTGAAACCATGAATTGAAACTCGAAATAAAAAAAATCTTAAACTTGTTTAAAGCTAAAACTCAAACTTGAACATTAAATATATGAAAAACTTATGTTCCATTCTTTTTAAAAAAAAATCAACACATAAATATTAATATTATTAATAATTTAATTTTTAAATAAAATCTTAATATATTATATTTCGAGTTGCTCGTGAACTTTTCGAATCGAGTATCAAGTAACTTGTTTCGCCTCGTTAAGAACTCGAGTTAAGTGTATTCGAATCGATTATTTATCAAATTTTGACTAAATTGATCTCGAATAATTCACGATATATCTCGTCTCATTTACTGTGATAATTGTTATTGTATAGTCTCAAACATTGACTACGTCTACTTCCAAGTTTTTGTTACGATAATTATAAAGCAATCACTACATTAATAAGATTTATAGCTAAACTACACCTATATTTATTAGTATTATCATTTAAATTAAATTTTATAAATGTTTATTTAATAATAATTTAAGCATAAAAAAATAAACAGAGGACTAATGACCAAAATAATAAAACACACATAAAATAGAAGGACATGTAAGAAAATAAACCACAAAGTTAGTGCTGAGAAATAAAAATAGAAAATCACTAAATCAGTCCTTAAATATTTAAAAAAAATTAAGTAGTCACTACACATGACCAAAATGAAAAACACGCATAAAATTACAGGGATCAAACTACAATTAAACCAAAAATATATAATATGAATCAGAAATGGGTAAATCACAAAATATGTCCATTCTGGAAACCATTTTGTAAAAGCACACCTAACTTATGGGGAGCTAAGTATAATTTCCCCTAAATTTTTCTATAAATATCACCTTTTTCATTTTTTTTCTTTTCAAAATATTTTATACTCTAGAAAATCGACAAGTTGTCGGTGGGTTATCTTCACCGGCCGTTGGCCACCAAATTACACCGTGAGGTTTGCCTTGGTCTCCCCAACTCCGATATGGCCTCTGTTTTGTCGGGGAATGTGTCGATCATTGCAAAATAGCCAAAGACCATTTGACTTTCCTCTCTTCGATCCGCCGTCGTCCGCCGTCTGATCGACCCGATTTTTGAATATGTGGTTCTCCATCGGCTTCTCCACATCTTTACCCTTCGAATCGTCAATATTGGCCTCCGATCACTGGCGAGGCTCCGACCGAATGGTAAGAAGCCTTTCTCTCATCTTCTCGTTTTTCAGTTTATTTAGCATTCATTCAAAAATATAGAAAAATATGTATATACATATAGCTTGATGTTGATTTGAAAAAACAAAGATCTAAGAAAAAAAACTTGTTATTTCATTGCTCGAAAACAAAGTGGGAAGGAACCCCTATTACAATCTGTTATTGTTTATTCAGTTCTACCCTCTTTTACAAAAAAATAAACCGAGCCCCCTTACTCTTTTTCATTCGGTTTTTGGTTTCGAAAATTCCCTCTCCGAATGATCTTTGGTTATTGTCTCCTTGTACATTGGTTTGTTCGAATGAGCTCCATGTTATCTCTCCCATTCCCCCTTACATTTTCCTTTTGAATGCCTTCTATGTAATCTATTTTGGGGTTCCTCTTATATCCCCATTATAATTTCAAGTCCAAATAATTAATTTGCATCCTGACATTGTTGCGTGGAACATTGGATGTGGAGACAGTGGCAGGGTAAGGGTATGGCAGCAGCATGGGCAGCAAGGTATGCTGAGTTGTAGCAGTATGGGGTTGGCAGCACAGTGGCTTCACATGGAAGGTCAAACCAGGTTCGGTTCGGGTTATAATCGGGTTAAATTTAGGCTTCGGGCCTTGAGTTGTAATATGATGGGCTGATTTGGTTGTAATTGTGGGCTTGAATCTCTATTGGGCTCGATCGAGCCTATGTGTAATTTGGGTTTATTGTAATGGTCTGCAAAGATAATAATAATAATAAGAATACTAATAATAATAACGGGTATCCAGACTAAATCGAGTGTCGACCGTTGCCCCTCTTTGCTCATTCTTGTGTCCGTTTCCATCTCCACGCTTTGAAATTCGATGAGAGATATGTTCCACTACTCTTTAGGGGAGATCAAATCGAGAAACGTTGATTCATTTCACTGTTCTTCAGTGATGATTAAATCAAATTTGATTTGCTTCATTTCTCTCCAGGAAGACTAAATCTGAAAGAAAACGAATCTGCTCCACTACACTTTAGGGGAGATCAGACTCGAGGAAATTTTAATCCACTTCCCTTCTCTTCAGGGAAGATTAAATCGGACTTGATTTACTTCACTGCTCTTTAGGAAGACCAAATCTGAAAGAATAAGAATCTGCTCCACTACTCTTTATGGGAGATCAAACTCGAGAAAAAAATCTGATCCACTTCGTTGCTCTTTAGGGAAGATTGAATCGAACATGATTTGCTTCGCTGCCCTTCAGAAAGACCAAATCTAAAAGAAAAAAAAATATGCTCTACTACTCTTTAGGGGAGATCAGACTCGAGAAAATTTGATTCACTTCGCTACTCTTCAGGGAAGATTGAATCAGAATCGATTTGCTTTCTTGCTCTCCAGGAAGACCAAATCTGAAAGAAGAAGAATATGCTCCACTACTCTTTAGGGGAGAGCAGACTTGAGAAAACTTGATTCACTTCGCTGCTCTTCAGGGATGATTGAATCAAAATTGATTTGCTTCACTACTCTTCAGGAAGACCAAATCTGAAAGAAGAATAATATGATCCACTACTCTTTAGGGGAGATCAGACTCAAGAAAACTTGATTCACTTCGTTTCTCTTCAGGGAAGATTGAGTCAGAATTGATTTGTTTCACTGCTCTTCAGGAATACCAAATCTGAAAGAAGAAGAATCTGCTCTACTACTTTTAGGGGAGATCAAACTCGAGAAAACTTGATTCACTTTATTGCTCTTCAGGGAAGATTGAATCATAATTGATTTGCTTCACTGCTCTTCAGGAAGACCAAATTTGAAAGAACAAGAATCTGCTCCACTACTCTTTAGGGGAGGTCAGACTCGAGAAAACTTTGATCCACTTCACTGCTCTTCAGGGAAGATTGAATCTGAAAATCAAACATTACCAATCATTAGTTTATTTTTGATAACTTGAAAACATCATACTAGAAAGTTTAGAATTTGAGAGAATCTTTGAGAATCCATTTCTCTTGTGGGAATTTGTCTCGCAGCCACAAGATATGGGAATCTGCCTTGACTCGACTGTCATTTGAACATCTCCCTTCTTGGGACTTTGGATTGGTTGATGACATCTGCTGGTCATAAATCGTTTAATTATCTTGAAAAACCTATAAAATATCCATCTTGAAAGTGCAACGAATCTGAATAAAGAATGCAGTGATGTAATTCATTTATCATTAATCTTTTGAGAAAGTGAAATGGTCTTTGAGAAAGAAAAAATTAGAACTTTCACGGAAGCAACTCAAAATAGACAAAGTTAATTTCTAGAGTCTTATGGAAGATGAGGTTGAGGTTTCTAGAGAAACGATCTCAAGAAAGACTAAAGTGAACTTTCTAGAACACAAGTCCTAAGAGAGTCAGGATTGAAGACAACACTACAAAAAGACCGACTCCTCTATATGAGAGAGTCAATTAGAGGAAATATACTATTTAAAGGTTGACTCTTCTTCGTGAGAAAGTAAAAAAGGACAATACTAAAAGATTGAATTATCTTCATGAGAAAGTCAATAAGGACAACACTAGAATATTGACTCCTTTTCGCGAGAAAGTCAAGAAGGACAACACTAAAATATTAACTC